GATTCCAAGATAGCTCAGACCAAAGCTTTGGTTATTGTGAAAACCACAATTGTAGCTAACCAGAATACTATAGCTGCACTCGAGGATCAGCTGGTGGGGTTAAATTTAAGAGTGTTGTGTGTGTGTCTTTCCCGTCTTTTTTACTTTAGTTGTATCCATGTGTCTTTTATTTGTTACGTCTCATCAAAGAGGCATGCTATTTTTCTATTGTTTATTCTTCTTTGAAACAATTTTCAATCTACTGCCATTCCTTCATTTCATGGCATGTTGACTTGAAACTTGGTAGGATTATACCTTAGTCTAATACACCTATATAACTTTTAAAATTTTTTGATTTAGGTCTTCTTAAGGATTTTATGGAGTGAAAGATCAAACAACTCAAAAATGTATATTTTGGGCTCCTGTGCAATCATATTTTCAGTAATCGAAATGAAAATTGGCACAAATATAAACTTTCATGCACCTAACACATTTACATACATAAACTTTGGATTTACCCATTTTGAGTCTTTAGGTGGGACAGAGCACTCAAGAAAAAACAAAATTTTGGGATTTTGGTCAATTACTCCGCCGTATTTAGGCCAGTTTACGTGGGATTTGGTAGACAGATACTTTTTTACACGTCTCAGACAAGTATATAGCCAATTTTGTAATTTTTGTCTTTTGCTCAATTTTTCAGTGAGGAAAGCACAATTTGAAGTTTACTTGAACTATTCATGTGTATGTCAACCATATTATATGGAATTTGATACAAAGATACCTTCTAACAGGTCCCAAGAAGTGATATAGACAGTTTTCGATTTTTCTGGTGTCAAGATTGGCTATGTTGGAATTGCATGGTGGAGACACGTTGCATTCGCCCGTGAATACTGGCCTCTTCAATTTTTAAATTGAGTCCATAAAGGCTAATGCAGTTTACTTGATTTTTTTTAATTTGATTGAACTATTTTATTTTCTGTTGTTTCATAATACAAGCTGTGTCCTATGTGATTTTGTGAATTACTTTCGAGGAGTTTATTTCATTGTTTTCTTTTTGTATACTGAAGGGTTTATTTTACATTTAGTGTCAAGTAGTTCGTTTAGTGACTTGTATTTTTATCACTTTGAAGCAATCCATGTTAAAGGGTCATTGTTGTTTTCACCAATGAATTGTTTCAAATTTAAGAGTTCTTCGAATATGTTTTACTATGACTCCAAGTGATCTTATCTTTAAACAGGCTTGTGTTAATATGTATATATTATTATTTTTTGTTTATGAACGTTCATTTCATATTAATTAAATTACTCTGTTGAGAATTATTATTTTGAATTCTTTAATTTATTGAATTCCAACTTGGATTAAATAGTGTTCTTTGCTATCATTTAGGAAGGTTTTCTTTGTTAAAGGAGTATTTTTTTATATTGATTTGCTGTATAATTTTGCGAGGTTAAATGTTATTTATTGCCCATTTCTTTTATTAACGGTGTTATATATGATTTAATTGTGAAAGGGTTTTGATTTGTGCATTGAAGTATTTTGTTAAATGGCAGTATCATCGGTATCGTGTAAGCATTTACTGGGAAGAAAAAAAGTTAATGCATTCCTTGACTAGGGTGCGAATATAAAGTTGATAAGTTTCAAAGTTAAATTTAATTGCTAACTTCGGGAAAACCTGAAATCGAGGGTGAATGAAAGGTGTGATATGCAGGCATACCATAGATTTTCTGCTTTCTTATATTAATATAGAATGTTTCACAAATTTCGCTTAAGTCTGTGCAATTTTTTGCATTCGGCATGATTGACAAAATCTTTTATTTGAAGTCATTGTTGTTGCTTTTGTTCCTTGTCCTGAGTTCACTCCTGTTCTGTCCATACAGGGCATGGCTGTAATGCAACACCTTCTGCCTGAAGGTCGGCAGCAGTGTCCTTCAGTGGTAGGTTAGATAGTGTTTCGAGGTTATGGCCTTCCTCCCTTTGCTTAAATTAAATTGACCAGTCACGATGATAGCACTAGTCGCTATGGGTTAATCCGGCTGTAAAGTTGGAAAGGTTAGTTTTAAACATTCATTTACCAGATCTTGAGAGAATTGGTTAGCGGGAATGCATCTTAGGGAAGAAAACTAGGATAATAAACTCACGACTCCAATGAAAGACGTCTGTAAGTCCACACACTGTTTTTTGTGTCATTGGATCAATAAAGGTTGTTTCCATTGTGTGCTATATATCATTTCCAGTCTATTTACTATTTTGCTAAAACTTGACAAGATAATTGATAGTGAAACTTGAAGATTGCAGTCCCAACGAACCTATCAGAATTGGAGCAATTCTGCCAGGAAGAATGGGCAAAAATTACACCATCCCATTGTGCAAAGCTGGTAGAGACCTATCCAAAAAGATTCACAGCAGTAATTGCTGCCAAAGGTGCTGCCCCCAAGTTTATTTATTTGTAGTTAAGAACAACGCTAGATATTGGTTTATCTGTGCTCTACCCACCACGGGTATAGAAATCCGGTTTCTACCGTTTTAATTCCGCAGAGATATCGCTGTTCCACTGGAGGTCTTCCAGCAAGTACTGACTTAGTGGGTTGATTTCTTATGGAATTAGTAAATCTCAGTTTATATATTTTCTTTGCAGGTTTTGCTGACATTCAACCTCCTTCACACATAACAGTGGTAAGTTTGATCATTAGAGTTTTGAATAAAAACAAGTTCATCCAGAAACCGCAAAATTTTGCTTTTTTCTGATCTCTAACCCACCTACAAAGACTCAAAATGGGCAAATCTAATTTTTTTGTATGTCACTGTGTTAGGCGCATGAAACATTACATTGTGACAGTTTTCATATTGATTGCTATAAATAGGACTGCACAGAAGCCCAAAATATACATTTTTGGGTTGTTTGACCTTTCACCCCATAAAATCCTTTAAGAGGCCTAAATCAAAAACTTATAAAGGCTCTTGGACGTATTGGAATAAGGTATAATCCTACCAAGTTTTAAGTCAATCCACCGAGAAATGAAATAATGGGAGTCGATTGAAAAGTGTTTGGAAGAAGAAGAAAGAAAGAACGGAAAAACATCATATCTCTTTGCGGAAACATAACTAAAACTACAAATTAAGTCCTAATGTCCTGAATATATATAGTTTAGTATTTACAACTGCTGTGTTGAATTAAAGTTAAAGTCATTTATATAATATAATACAATCTATCCATAAGAAAAACATCCTACTTCACAGAATAAAAGCGGAAAGCTTTTTCATTAATAATATCAGAAGATACTCCTGATATAAGTATCTTAAGATCAATTATATTTATGTTGGATTCTTACTTAATAATGTTTTTAAAGTATGAGCTCAATACTTGTAATGGGCCTGGCATGGTCTAGTTGGTACGAGGTAGGTATTCTGCATTCGTGGCTCGTGTCCCGTTTCCGAAAAAAAAAAGAGGCGTTCCACATTTTGGGGGGATTGTATAGGTACTAGAAGAATGACACTCAAGTCCCAGTATTTGGTCAGACAAGTGCTTGCTGTAGCTACCTTCCGTCTAGTATTTGGGTTTGATTAGTTTGCGATATTCGCGCAAAGCTACACAAGGGATATCTGCGTTAGGTAGGTAAGTAGGTAGTCAACAGCACCCACTGCCAACTCTTGGGCTACTCTAATAGAGTAGTAGAACTTGGACCATCACTTCTAACGAACCCACGGCCCGAAAATTCGGACCCCCTTTTTTCAGTTCAAAATTAGGAACAGCTTTATGTAGCTATACGCGAAAGTTGGAAAACAAACAAAATAATGGTGTAATATGCATCGGTCTTGGAATATTAATGAAATATGGTTAAGTAATAAAAATGTTTTGTGCATTCTAAGCATTGTTGTTGTTGTAAAACCATTCTCCTGTGATTACGTGTTCAAGCAACCAAAACAATATGTATATTTTAGTGTCAGTTACAGATAAGATGCGAGTATATTAGCGCCATCTCTGGTATGAATTATCTCTACAGGTTTTAATGGAGTACTTCATTGTTTTTTGTGATATGCTTATATTTTATAGCTCTTTGCCAAATGGTGAACACTTAAAAAGGTTAAAGGTTCGAGGCGTGGAGCTAAATGCTATAATCATAGTTGTAGAAAAAGGCGCCAAAGCAACCATCTGTGAGTTTTATGATAGTCTTGAGAATGAGGCCGTATTTTCCCACTAACCATTACGTCTGTTGTTGTTTTGTTTTCTGACTGCCTCGTTGAGTTTGCCAGAGGGAAAATTACGCATATTTGGTTTGGCAAACTAATGCACAACTTCCACAAAGACAGATGGGTTGAACCTGACTATGTCTACTCACGACTGTTCAGAGGACACTAAGTAAAATAAATAGGAGACTAAGAAGTATGGCCTATTTCAACTTTTAGAAACCAGATTAGATGGAAAATTCGAAGAAAAGAAGAATGCGCTTGAGTTATTTACTTGAATGTTGATTTGTGATTAAATATATCTAGACTTAACGAAACAAGTCATTAAAATATAAATTATGCCTTGTTTACTCTTACAATTGTTTAGAAATTAATGTAATTGGAGTTATTCTCTTCCACAAGATGGGGTTATATCAGCATAAGTATCACATATTTAGTAAAACTGTAACTTCTACTCTAAATCGGGAACCGCAACTTTATTGTGAATTTATTTATAAAGAACTGACTTTGTATATAATCAGATTTTTGCCCATAATATTAAAGTATGCCGTATAGCCGTTATATTTTACACTACAAGTTTCAAAAAATTGTTTGGTAACATTCTACACGTAATCTGATAATATCTTAATATATTTGTAAATGATTAAAGGCATATTAAATTTTGTTAGAATATATATATATATATATGTACATTGCAAACTCCTGAAGAGTTTCTTGATGACGCACATATTTCTTGTATAGCATTATGTATTCGAGCTACTTCGCTTTTCAGTTAATAAAAAGCATATGTTTTTGTAGTTAGAAAGATATACATTTTATTTATTTATTCCCGCAGATTATAGTTTCTTAAAGAATGAATAGCAGCAGAAAGGTCGCTGTGTCGTTGGCTTTGCCCGGAAATAAAGTCCGTCACCCTCAGCCTAGGGAAAAAAAGTCAAGACAAAAAGCATTCAGCAGCCAGGAAACGTGTATGAAAGAACAGTCTCGCAAGCCTTCAACCCAGAATCCTATGATGAGTGGACCTTTAGAATATTTATGTGTTGACCCTGCCGGGACGTCGTCGTACTCTTCAGTACCGACTCATTCATTAAGTCAACCATTTTCACAATTGGATCTTCATGAGCAGGAGTTGTTAAACAAATATGTTTCTAGCAATTCAGATTATGTTGCACCTCAGTTCCTCACAAACGTACCAGTAATGTCAACAAAAGCATACTGCTCTCCTGGCAATCGGTCTGCAGAGCAAATGCAAACTTCTGGAAGCACAGTATCCGTGACAGGAGAAGAACTACAAGTAGAAGAAGTAAAAGATGGGCAGTTCGAAAAATGTTCTTATTCTGTTGCAGCTGCTAATGGAACATTGAGTCCAGAAACTTCTTTGGCTGATGGGACAGAAAATATTGGCTACAGACCTTGGGAGCAAAGAAGTGAACAAGGGCAACAGCAAAGCGAGAGCTCACGGGAATTTAATCAAGGATCTTCGATAACGAATAAAGAAACAATGTTATTAACAAACAGAGAACCAGATAACAAAACTTCACTAGAACATTCCAAACAAGGAGAAAAAGTGTCTGATGGTTCCACTGAGCAAAGTAACTCTCCTTTAACTCCATCCTCACACTTTTCGTCTTCCCCTAGGCCAAACAGTAGGTGCTTGCAAGAGTCGTGGGTACAGAATAAAAATATTCAAAGTAGTTTAGTGAAAGAAAACTCATGTAATCCCCTTCTTCGTGCCCAACATTCGGGCTTCTCAGAGCCGGATTTTTCATATTGCAACCCTCCACTGCATAATACATCCAATCCTCTTTTTGGAAATCCAAATTCGCTCCAGTACACTTTACCTGTAAACGTAGTGGCCTATCCAGAACAACAACAGCAAATGTCTCATTCTGATACCAGCTCTATGTTTCCAGCTCCAAAACGCTTGAAAACAGATTCTTCCATTTCTAACATTAAAGGATCTCTTGAAAATTCTTTCCCAGTGCCCTCGGTTATATCAGTCACCCCAAAACAATCTCTACCACCAGCAGAGCAATATAGAAAAAAGAGTTTTGTTAATAATTCACCTCCAGTCTTTGAAACTGAAGAGAAACCAAAAAAGAAGAGAAAACGTTGTGGTGAATGCCCTGGATGTTTTAGGAAAGATAACTGTGGCGAGTGTGGACCATGCAAAAGTGTTAAAAGTCATCAAATTTGTAAACTTAGAAAATGTGACCAACTAAAAACGAAGAAAGAAAGGGTGAGTATCTTTATCACAGCCTTTTTTAAAGAAATTGTTTGTACATATAGTTCTCAATTAATAATTTTATTGACCAAAGTAAATATAAAACATGCAATTGTTCATTGAGCTTGCAATGGTTTTCTTGGGACATTTATTTCAACCTTCTTAGGATTTTCGAGAGAGAAAAAATAAAAGCTGTGCATACAGTTATGATGTTTACTTTTTGAATATGGGTATCGATCGTAAAAACTGCATTAATTAAGTAAAACGTCTGTCTATCGATTCCTGTATCTGGTATCATAGTTCATCAATACCCTCTCTAATAATAATCTTGTAATTAAGACTTTTATTACAGAACACTAGATAAGTTTAAACCCGTGATCCCCCTTCCGACTTCCTTTGCCAGGGACCATAATATTTGAAAATTCGTAATTAATGTCTGATGGTTGCTTTAGACCTAAGATGGTCCTCTGTGTTGGTGATATCTGCTGTAGTGGATTTTTTTACAGAAGATAAATGCAAATGACTTAGTATTTATGCATTTCTTGTAATGCTAAAGTCGTTGGAAAATTAATAGCGGGTCTTTCATGAACAATTACGATCTTGTACGGTTTCTTCTAAACTTTGACCAAGGTTATGTTTCAGTAAAAGGAAATACTTTATGCTTCAATAACCCTTTTTTTCATTCTTGTAAAGCGATAACTACTTGTAGCTACATGAATTTCCAGCTCTTTATTCATATTTTTGAAAATGTGTCTGTAACATAGTTTCCTTTTGCTTAAAACATAGTCTTTGAATGTAATAACTCTGTGTTTCTTGTATTTAGTAGAATTCGAACGCATTTAAAATTTATGCACTTCTTTGTTGTAACATAATAACTTAGTATTATATGAATTACGCTCCTGATGATGACGTTAAAACGTCGAAACATGTAGTCAACTTTTTGGAAGTATAGATTTTAACATTATGAGTTATTTATTATTGTTATTTGTTGATATTAATTAAAGGGCAGAGTATCTTCCATTACTGACGCTATTCTACTGATAGCATCATGATCAGTGGTAGTGGTGTAAGTATGCCCCCGCATCCTCCGCAGTCGTGGGGGGGGGACAAAAAGGGGCCCGAAGGGCTTGACAAACTTAAGAATTGCCGACAAGGGGTGAGACGTACAATTTAATTTGTTTGAAATAAAGGGCATTTGCAATATTCTGTTAAGTTAATTATATCAATCAGCCAGGATCGTAACCACAATTATAGGGAAACAGATGTAAGCGGTCCAGTTACTTTTTATGTTGGGGGGGGGGCATCTTTTGTAGTTATTCCACTGCTCGTGCTCTTTATTCTACACTTCACATTAAAAAGAAGGCCGGAAAATGTAAAGGAGACTTTTATATTACACTTTTTAAAATCGTTTTAGTAGATATTAGATACTGTTTATATCTAAATGTCTGCCCATCCAGGTGACTCAGCGGTAAGCTTTGGAGCTTATAAGGCTAATATTCAGGAATTCTATCCCTGCGTTGGCCATGGCGCAGATAGCCCATTGTGCAACTTTACTCGCAAAAAACAAGTTAAAGGTTTGATATATAATTTATAGGGGGAACTTTCAAGTTTAACATTAGTCGTACTTAATAAAATTATTTAATTTAATATGAAGACTGAATAGAAAGAATGAGTTTTTAAAACTAAACACGTAAATGTGATCAATATTATATTCTCATAGGAATGATTATTATAATTGTAAGTTGTATTTATTTTGAACCAGTTTGGAAATATCATAAATAAAATATGGTTTAACTACTAAATGTTCACAAGCGCTGAGTTAGTAGGGCAAAAAAAAGTATTTGACCCTTCAATGTTTATAGGCCCCCACCAAAGTAATGCCTATGTGCATGGAGTGCATGACACTACTAATTGTTGTATAAACAGAGTGAGTCTATCAACTCCCACCAATGGACGTCATAGAGTTTGTAGTGTGATCGTGTACTTCTTTCAAATGAAAAACGTTATCCCGTGGAGAGCTGAGTACGGGGAGGACATGGCTAGCGATCTTATTTTTATGTTGAAGTTTCCTTAATGGGTTTATTCATTCTTTTTTTATTACTTAAAATCAAATGTTATCCAGAAGCTGTGGATTAACTGGATAACTTCATTAATTTGTCAATCTCGGCGATAAATCGTTTCACTCATAAACAGAATTAAATTTGTTTTATTTAAAGTGATGTTTGATTATTGTTGTGACGTTGTTCTTTCATTGGTGAGTTCTTTTAAATTACCCGATGAAAATAATTCAAAGTCCAGGTCGCGTAAACTATAACAAATGAGATTATTTCCTCTAAAGTCTCTACAAGCTTTTACACTTGTACACAGCCGTAAATTGTTGCAGGCCGACGTTACAAATGACGTTAACTAACGCCAAACAAATCATCTTGTACAAAGTAACTCAATAAGCGTGATATTTAACACAGATCGAAACACTTCTTGAAAACACACTGACTGATTCAGCTCTGTATCTTGAAACAACTGTCTTTCAATTAACAAAGTTTCAAGGGATGTAGGTTATAGCTATTTCTAGGACTTGCTTGATCTTAACGTCATGTGTTCTCTATCTTACGTCTAAGTTAAACAAATTACAGCATAATTAATATAGCTTATAACGGTTCTTCTCTCAATATATGATATAGGTGCGATTTATTTTTTATTGCAGTGTTGAATTACTTTAGTTTTTATTTTGTGTCAGCATAACTCTAAGAAATTGTGTTGAAGAGGATCTTGCTTTAATTTGGTATGTGATGTTGGTTTTGTATGTATGCCAGGAATAAAAAAAAATGGAATAAGTTCCCACTTGCCCGTAATTCTTCTCAAGTCGGCGCCTACGTAAATATCATTTTCTATTAAAAATCCGTCCTAAATAATTATGAGCTAGCTTTCTTTCTCTTATGTTATCTCTTTTTGTAGTGTGAATATTTTTCTCCGTATTGCGCAGATGAACTAAAATGGTTAGGTGTATAATAAAATGTTTACACTATTGTACTTTTATTATTATTTTACTTAACATGTCAAAATATCTAAACCTATTAATATCTGAAAGTTTCTTGTAGACGCTAAAACAATTTAAACACTCCTTGTTAAAAATTAAATTTAAATTTAGGATTCCAATGTAAAAATCAATACAGTATGCATCTGCTCAGAAAAGACAGCATCCGTTCCTGTTCTGTCCACAGCAGGAATATACCATTTTAAAACGCAGGGTTGAGATAACAACGGAAGGAAAACCATGACGCCTTGGATAGAGCTTACTCACCGAACTAGGTGCAGAATATAAGTGATTATGGGATATGTGTCGCGTGAGGATTAAAATCGCGACTTTCTGTAGTTTGCTTCCAGTATAATGACAAAGAAAGACTGTTTAGCCTGCATTCGAAGAAATGGAACAAAACATATACGACTAAAATACACTCATTTTGTCTAGAAAGTTAGGATTCGAGAAATGACAGTCATTTGAAACATAAAAGACTTAAGTAATTTCGTAAATGTTAAATATACCCACCTCCCCAAACCTTTATGAAAATAACGTTACAAATTTCAAGATAGAAAAATAACTATTTGATATTCCGTATTCGAGGGTTTCTGTACATAACCTATGATTCCTTTATTGTTAAAACCAACGCTTCTGTACTTAGTGTAAAATATTTTAAAGTATATCCTTAGTATCAGTTAACCTACTTTCGTGGTCTATTATATCGCCATATCGTACTTGTTGAATTCCCCTGGAATGTTTTCGCTTCTTCAAGTAACTGGAAGGAAAACACGAATTACCACAGTATCAAACTATCATAATTATTCGTTTGCATTTAACCCTTATAATATTAGCAATGGTCTTATAAATACGTGCTCCACTATCGCAACACTTCACAACATCTTAGATATTGTGAATGAATATAAAATTAACTCAAAATATGTAAACCTTTGTTGGTGCGAATGACCTTGTGATTGTTTACAGACCCAATTACCGTACACAGACTTTTAAGTTTTGCGTGACAGTGAAACGAACTTTAAGGTTCGATTGCGTTATTGGCCGTCGTATGTTACCAGAAGTGGGTTCTTAAACACAGACCTTGAAGGAAAAAAAACAAGACATCTGTATTTTTTCTCACGTGCATGCTCCAGATGTTCGTACGTGAATGGCGGTTGGACCTCTACGTGTAGTGCGCTTTTTATGTTTGCTTTCAGTTTGCCCCTAGATCCTGTCCGCACCAGTGTGATCTGTTGCTTTATATGTACTACCTTTGTGTTTGTATTTGAACTGCCGAAGTCATTTTTTTTAATATTCATTTGTTGAGTTCAAAGTATTGAGGCGCTCTTTGTCTGTCTATTCAGTAATTCAGTAGATATGGTTTGTTTATTTAGACCAATCGTGGAATTTTAAATACAAGTTATTCAAAAACCAACTTGAAATAGGCGTTATGTGACTGTAATTAAGTTTATAATTATAAACCTAATGTGTAAAACTACAAAAAAGTAATCAACACGTAAACAGTAGATATGTGTATATTTCTATTACATCTTAGGTTATAATTTCAAATAATTAATAACAAGTGTAAGTTTTAAATTAAGCAACAAATGTTGACAGATAAGTCTCACAAGGTCAGATAAATCAATGCAATTAATAAATTTGATGTAAAAGAATTAAAGGTTTTCACAACTATTGTTGACTTAAGGCTTCGTTATTTCTTAAACTGTTATGACGTTTTTGTTTTTTGCTATCCTATCTTTAAAGGAATTCATATTCACAACGACTAGAAACCCAATTGAGTTTCGATGTAGTAGTTAACGATTTATTAAAGTTTTAATACAAAATGAATTAATGATAAATCAGTTTCAATGGTAATCTCTAAGCATGTAATAGAGCTCCATTTCATATTGAAGAAGTTTATCCTTCTTTATACCTTTGTAATCAGTATAATGACGTTATCATTCTTGTTTTCTAAGTTTTTAAATTTGGTTTGAATGAAATGTAAAACCAGGGCCAAAAGACGGAATTTTGGGCCGCCCTGTAAAGTATTTACTGTACTTTAAATACATAAATTTTCATTCACAATCTTTGTATGAATTTATTAAAGTATGGTAGCCTAACCTTTAATCGCTCTCGTTGCAAATTGTTTGACAACTTGATAGAAATTCAACTTTCTTGCAACATCCGTTTCCATGAACAGTATACACAGTTTTGTAAGATGCTCCTGAAGCATAGACAATTTTAGACTTTGATTAATTTCAGCTTTGAAAAACTCCACTCACAAATGCATAAATTGGTATACATGCTGCTGCTAAATCACTTTTGTAAATAAAGTATAGTGTTCTTGGAGCGTCAAATGCCCCTGGGAAAATTGTATACACACATTGACGTACAATCCAATTCTGTTAACATCTGATTTAGCTCAGTTGGCGCTGGAATCCATGCTCAACTTTACGACTTCGTTGTGTTTTACATTTTGAATTGCTTTGACCTCGTAGAGGAATACGAAAATCGATATGCAGTCACGCAGCAACTCAAATTTGTGTCTAAATTTCATTAAAGCACAGCGCTCAGATTCATAACTAGCGGCTCTTTAGTGCTTGTTAGGGTGTCTTTCTTCGAATACATTTTTCTTTTTATTAAAGGATTTACCGGATCACATTGACTAAAGTACTAGCAATATCAGTTCTCATAATGGAGCTTTGCGTTTGCTTTGTGGCTAAATTTACTTCTACAAACACATCATACTAAGTTAGTAAAGAAATTAGAAATCTATATAAGGCTAGCTCATGTTAATTCTCAGTTTCCAAAATAAGCTCCAACATCCGTGGTAGATTTCTTTAGTTTTGTTAATGCAACTAATACACTTTTCATTTGGTATCAAACCGCTTTATACTTCCAATTTTAAATCCCCTGTTAGTTTTGGATAGAAGTTTCAGAGGTATTATTGAAGCACTTTCAAACAACCCAGCTGCCAGTTGATGCTTAAAAAATAATACTATACATTCTTTGAAGTAAACTGAAAAGATTTTTGACCGGATGCAGTTATTGTAACATCACACACTACAAGGTTCAACTAACACGGCCACAAGGAACGAAAAATACTGTTTTATTTAATTGCAACAATTTAGATTGAACACCTTTGTGTTGGCCTCTCGTAATTTACGCCGTTATCGTACTCCTTCCTGACCTTGGCAATCTTTGAATGGCATTCCATGCACTGTATGGTAAGATCTTCAGAAAGACCCCCAATAAAGCAAAACCTCTAGTCTGTCGTCATTAATGGTAGAAATGATATTCGCATTCTTAAAACTATTGACAGTTGCTTTTGGTAACTCACATCATGGATACTTTTTAGAACAATTGCAATAACAACGTCTTTAGAGACCATCTGTGTTAGCTCTTTCTGGATTTAAATAATGATGACTCGCTTCGTTATTTATGAACTTATTAAGAACTTTGCCATTAATTCCACGTGAACTAAAAAAATTTTCCGTTTTCATTGTGAGTTAACTTATTGACAGTTCTCCAAACAGTTTAATTTCTCCCTGCGAAACGCTTCCAATTAGTTTCAGTTTGAACTGTACTATCTGCTATAGAACACGTTTTCAACCATAGTGCGAATTTATTCATTTTCATATGTTAACTGCTTTCTTCGTGGGATTCTTGTTTGTTTGTTTGTTCTTATTTTGCCAGAAACAAAAACCTTTATGAGTCAGCTGTGCATTTTCTTGTCAGTTTTACTTTACAGAAAAAAAACAGAAGACTGTAACCAGTTTTAAAGAAGATAACAGTAATGGATGTGGCACTTTATAATTTTTTTCATTTTCTGAATAATTTTATATTTGTTTTATTCGTTCTTGTTATGTTATTTCGTGGTTTGAGTTCTTTGCTTGGTTAATTCTGTTGTTGAATTATTTGATTTTGTCACCATCTGAATCATTTGACAGCTGTTTCCCGCACAATCTATTTATAGCAGTTCCTCTGCCACAGAACGCTTTTACACTTTCTTTCGAAACGGTCCTCGAACGTCTTACAACTTGTGCCTGCAATAATGGTTACATCAAGTTATGGGGGCTGTCAGGCTCTTATGCAAAATGAGTTAAATAAAACAACTATTATTGCATAACTTATACAGAAAATGTACTCATTTTAAAAATAATTATTTCTTATTATAATGTTCTGTAGTACTAAACTGTACAATAAATTAAACAATGAAATAAAATATTTTGCATTAAATATACCACATATTTAAATTTGAAACAAAATAACTTAAAACCTCTGACATTGTCCGATTGTTAATTAGATCCTGATGGATTGGTGGACCCTGCTTAAGCTTCTTTTAAATGGAGTAATCAGTAGCAAAGAATAATAGCAATTATAATTGTTTCTGGTGTAGAACAAATGCAAGGACCTCAAACTGAAAAATAATTAATGTCAGTAAAACGTTTTGTAAACGTTTTGGAATGTAAATCTTGGGACTTCATACATGTTTCTTACTGGTATTGAGACAACTTTAAGTTAACACTAAGTATCCAGTGTAAAGATGATTTGTGTTATTACCTGCATTATTATTTTGTGCTTGGGAAGTTTAGAACTGCCATTATCATCAAGGTTCTTCTAGAGGTAATGCCCAATTCAATTTGATTTAAGTTGCATCTGCCTTTTCCACATACTTTAAAACTTGCTACACTTCCATACTTCCACCTTCTCTCTCCTACTGGTTATCAGTGTGACCTATGCTCCATCAATCTACATGTCGGTTAACTGATGACAACATTTGCAAATCTTATCAGGGTGCCCAAAGGATTGAACCCTGCTAACTAGGTGATTCACTTTTTCTTTGAATGTTATGCTGCTGTGGGCAGTTATATTGGACATAATCAGATGAGACTTAAAAGTCTCAAAGATTTTACCCATGTTCTTTGGATAGAACCTCTCCAATATTGTGATGAGGATTAGAGAGTTTATCAGGAGTATGATATTGAAATAATTTTCACTGTTACTGGGTAACCCATTTTATGCCACTAGATGTTCATCTCTCCACACAGCTCTTTCCTGGATGAGCCGTACATTGCTATGATTAGTGTTGGTCTCTGCTTGTATATCCATTCCATGACTTTTGATCAACCCTGACCTTTCCTTCCACATCTGGCTGCCAGTCTTCATTGTTTTTGAATTAATGCCATCTGCCTGAACACAGTAGACATGGTTCCTCTACATCTTTCTTAGCTTCATTGATCCATGACTTGACTGATTTCAGTCTCTGTATTACTGCTTCATGTGTCCTCTCTCTCAAGTGGTGATATTGTAATTGAGATATGGTTGTAGTTACTCTGTGTAGCACTGGGCTGGCTAGAATCCTTGATCTTGTAGTAATGCTGCTCAAACCATGTCAAAAGCACAGGGTATTACATAGTGTTAGTTTGGCTGATGCTATTGCTGTTCTCATGGTTGCATTCTGCAGTTTCTGTAACTTGGATGCTTGTTTTACTGCTGATACACACAAGTGAATTTTATACCCCATTCTGATCATTACTACTACTTTCATTAGATTGATGAGGCTTCTTTGCTGCATTTTCTGGACTGTAGTATATTTGAGATTTACAAGTAAAATGAAAAATAAACCATTAATACTTATCTGCTTATTTTTCAGATAAATGAAAGAGTCAAACTTATGAATCAAGAGCAAAATGGCATTATGTAATAATGACACTGTTAACAATGTAAAGTGGGAAAATAAAGCAAAATTATAAATGCCCTCCCTTCAAAAAAAAAAGCAGATTTATGTTTTTATGTAATAATGTCCCTACTTTGCACTATTATTGGAGCAAATATTAACAGAGACATTACCTGATGCCTGATTCCCTGTTGCCATTACTGCTGATGTACTGCAAAATTCTATCACTTTTCTTCCACATTTAAAAGCATTAGGAAAAAAATGAACCAATTTAAATTTGGGCCAATCTACACAGATAAAACAAAAAAGATTACATGTTTCATTAGAATTGTTTTAAGCCTATTTTACTCTTTTGAATATCGAATATTTACTCTCATTTATGACTCATGCAAATACAGTCTGTGGAATAATATTCAGCAACACAATGGACATCAGGCTTGTTACTTGTATTATTTGCACCTTGTGCACTCACTTGCATCTTAGTAAATTATTATTGTACTGATGCAGCAATTACAAAAAAAAGGATGAATTCAAAGTTATAAATCCTCAACTGTTGTTTACAAATACTTAAGTTAGTGCTCTTAGTAAAAAGAAAAGAAAGAAAAACAATTGGGTTGGTCACTTGCCATATTTGTTTGCTAGATTATCTTTACCAAAAAGGTTGTGCAACTAATTTAAACTTGGTAAGTTTGTATTGTTGAGAAAACATATGTCTGTATTAGTAATGATAAAAAAAAAGTGTTGTTAGATTTAAAGAATCTTGATAACAAAAATCATTGAAAGAACAAATGTCTTCATTTTGATATTAAAATGATGAAATTAAACTGCTTCTTTCAGTGACTCTTAACTTCCTCAAAATGTCTTTAATATATTAAGGATGGAGTTTTTAAGATGTGCTAGATGTCTGTTTTCACAGTTTTGTGTATACTAATATATTTTCATTTACAGATGCAACCCAAACTAGCCCAAAGTAACAACATGGCAAGAGGTAAAAAACGTCATACACTGGAAAAAAGCAACCAAGTTCGGGAAATGAATTCCAATTTTGGTAGTTTTTATGAAAGTGCATCACAACCAGTAGCTCATTATAGTGACCATTTGTCTCCAGGTGAAATTAGTGAGAGAAAACCAATGTCTGTCCCTCTAATCAATGAAGAAATAAATGAACTGAGAAGGCATCAGTTTGTTAATACTCAACCTAATTCACTGATCCACTGTCATGAAAATCAGAAGGAAGAGACAATTCTAGTGCCTGTATATGCAGAATCATATCAACCAGGAATTTCTGGAAATCATAGTGGTCAACCGTATATTGAAAAACAGTCAGTAACTCCTTCTCTAGTGCACAGTAATAACAGTTCTGAAGGAACAGTTGGTCATTCTTCTTACATGATTTATCCAGGAACAATGTCTGAACAATTACCTCCTATTTCTGAGACAATTTTCCCAGTAGGAGGAATGTCTCTACATTTACAAACAAGTAAGGCAGCAAGAGTAGATGAAATAACTCAGTTTTCAACAGCTGACACTCATAAGAAATCGTTATCAAGAAAAGAGAATGAAATAAGTCTAGAACATGCAACAGATAATACACATGAAGCAGCACATTTAGGAAATATGGAAATTGAGTACAGTCCATTAAATGAGACAAACTACAGTATCTTCTTCAGTGAAAAAAATGCACTGAAGAGGGAAGAAGACATAAAGTCCCACTTTCAATATTCTGTTGATGATGGTAACTTTGCCCCTAGCTATTCTTTCTCATCCCCTTACTCAACATCAGTTACTGAATCCCATTCAGATCAATACACTCAACCACCTACTCCTATTTCCCCTTATAAGGGACATCATATAAATTCAGATGCAATATCTTCTCATCAAACATCACCATCACCGTCTCCACCTTTGTTGACTGAGTTAACTCCAGTATCACTACGTTCCACCAGAAATCAACACATAGAAACTTTGCTACCAGCCTCTAGGAGCAGCATGACATCAATGAGTGAAAGTAGAGAGAACAATGTCAATGAAGAGTTACAGCCTTTTTTATCAAACATGACAACATCCATGGATACATATACAAATATTATCAATACATATAACTTGATTTCACCTTCATCCTTTTGTTCACCATTCTACTCCATAATTTCTCCAGCTGTTGGAGTTTTCCCACCGACATCCAGTGTGATAACAGGAGCTGATTCATTCCTTTTAGATCTAAACAATAAAATGCATGGATCTAACAACATGATGCCTTCAACAAATGGAGGTCTTTTTATGTCAGACAGAGACAGTGGTCACACAGATGACTAGTATGGACAAAATTTGTATTATCATAATCAGAATGGCCTTCCCATTTCACTTGTGTTTAAAAAATAATAATGATAATATCAACAATTAAATATTTGTTGATCACAATTCTGTAAATTAATATTTTCTTAACATTGTTAACAACATCTAGAATAGTGTGTGTTCAGCAACATCAAGAGTGTCTCCTTTAAGAACTTGGTTATATATTGGTGTCACACCTGATTGAGATGGCTATATGTTTATAAAGTAGCAAGCTAGAGATTTTGAGAGAAAAGAAACACACAAACGTTGTTAAACTTGAATGCATTATATTGCCAATGAAATTTACATTGCAAACAGAGCTTGTTTACTTCCTGTAGAACTAATTCCTGCAATAACTAAAACCTACATACAAAATTTGAACTGGATTTTGGTAACATAATTAAATTAACTATGACATTACTAAGTTGAAGCAAACAAATTACAGTATTCTGCAAAGTTCAGGATACAAGAAGTTGTGCCAAAATTGAATAGCAAATATTCACACTTGTGTTTCTTGCATATCCACTTGAATATTTTAGAAGGATGAATTCCATATGTTATAGAATAAATTTCATACTTAATAGGCACTTTTTATTTTAAAGTATTTTTTACAGGATTACTTTTTTATCTTTAATTGTTTGGAACCATGTAAAAAATGTTTCTACAGTTTTAATGAATTTATTATATGAGATAATTAAATTCAGTTTTGTGACATAAAATTTCTGTCACCGAAATACTGCATTATTTGAAAATATAGGAAAAATAATTCAGGTTTATGTATGCTCATAATCAGTGCATATTATATATTTTATTTTCTGTGTTGTCTGCCTCAGTAATTATATTTTGTGATTTCGTTTTTATTTTTATATAGAAATGCACTGGCTGTTTGTGATAGTCACGAGATAACATGATTGTTAAATTTTGTTGTTACTCAGGGAGAGTGAGAGATTGGACTCAGCAGTCAACATGTTTTTATTAATGAATGAAATATGACTCTTATGAAATAGTTTATTTAATTTTACTTATATCATAAACTTATTAATTTTAGTCTAACAGTATTAGTTTACATGTACATTATTTTTTTACTTGTATACATTAAATACGTTACCATCTGGCCGTTTACAATTGTGTGCCATAATGTGTGACCCATGAAATTATATTTGCGTTGATAAAAAAAAAAATAATAAAACTCGTAGTAAATATAAGAAACTTGTTTTGTTGAGTTTTAACTTTTTAAGGAAAAACAAACTCTCACAGAATAAATCCACCACACAAGAAATTAATTGGTAACTTTGGTAACACATCTACATAGAGTCGCTTGTGTAAGGCGTTTAACGAGGAAGTACTTTTAACACTATCAAACCGGAGATATTTTTGTACCAAGGTGAACTGTAAATACTGTTTATGCCTTGGAACACACACGGTATTTGTATGCAGCTAGAAATTCCTTACTAATTCAATTTATCAGATTTTATGCTTTTGCTATCTAATTGAGGACACAATATTTAAACAACGAAGTGGGGTGGTGCTACACAAACTTTTTTTTTTTTTATCTAAGTATGTTAATCTGAAATCAAGATCGTATTAACTTATACCTTTTATGAACACACTTTTGGCGCCTCCACCTCTGAAATGTTTTGATTATTTGTTTTGTGACTCATTACCTACTTAATGACAATAACATAAAGAATTAATTACCGCCTTATACAGGCCTAAAATAAAGTCACAATATAACATCTCACGATATCACAGCTGTAAACCTGGAACTAATGAAGTGTAGCCTACTAGATGTACTTACATAAGTTGTAAACCATTTTGATATTAATGTCATCCAGTATTGTTGAAAGTCACATAGCTAGAGTAATCTTTCAAGCATGCAGAATAAATTTCTGTTATATCCCTAGTTTGAAACTTATGTTTTATACGAGAAGACAGTCACTTGTGGTGTACATGGATTATAAAACAGATTGGTAAAATACTACTTAAGTTTACAAATAACAAAGTTTATTAGTTTACAAAACTGTACATATAGTTAATTATATCTTGTACAGGTAGCATTCTGGTATTCATGGTTACATTATGTGAACCTTTCGTGCTTTTGCAGCTGCAAATGCATCAATTAAACTATCAAAATTTAAGGTATTAAGTACGTCTTTTTCAATACTTAATATTGCCAAGTTACTAAGTCATTCTTGACTCATTGATGTTTTCAAGTATGTGAGAATTAATTTCAGTTTGCTGAAGGACCTTTCACAACTAGCAATAGAAACCCAATTGTTAACAAAATCTGCAATGCAATACTTATATTTGGGAAAACATCTTCACCATAAGAAATTATAAATGCTAGCAAATCAGTTGCAACCATTGGTTCAGGAAAATCGGTCTGTGTTCTTTTACTTATCAACATTCTACAGTCTTTAATTTCTCTGTATAATTCTGGTCCATCAATATCACCTGGATAGCTCTTTGTAAGTCAGAACAGTTTTCTCGCAATTTTCCTTCTTCGAAATCTCCAGAAACAATATTTTACACATATAGTAGAAATCCAAACCGTGAATCTAAATCTAGTAAGCGAGAAAATCTTCTAGTTGTTTCTGTAATCAAGTGATCAATAACATCCTTCATGATGTGATAGCAATAGAAACCCCAATTGAAATTATAAATGTTAGCAAATCAGTTGCAACCACGATCGGTCTGTGTTCTTTTACTTATCAACATTCTACAGTCTTTAATTTCTCTGTACAATTCTGGTCCATCAATATCACCTGGATAGCTCTTTGCTAAGTCGCAGCATTTTTCTTTTAATTTTTCGTCTTCGAAATCTCCAGAAACAATATTTTGCACATCTAGTAGAAATCCAAACCGTGAATCTAAATCTAGTAAGCGAGAAAATCTTCTAGTTGTTTCTGTAATCAAGTGATCAATAACATCCTTCATGATGTGATAAATTTCCTGTCCAGCAGTCAATCCAGCATCAGCTGTATTTTCACCTGGCATTCGTTTACGATGTATTTTTTTTCTTTCAATGGTCAATCCCCATGTTTCACATTGATTCTTGCCCACTTTTAGTGCATCTTGACAGGACTTTTCATGTGATTCTATCAATTTCTCTTTCAAAGAATTAAGTTCAGCAGCGACTTCTCTAAAATTCATTTTTGGGTCCTGAAGCCGTTCTACATTTGATTGATAGATGATAAAAAAATTTCTCCAAAAATGCAAAAGTACAAGAAAATCAAATGTAAGCATGCATTGCAGAATATTATGAGCACCATATTTTGTTTCAGCCGTGTTGCCATTCTCACTTAATTGCTCTAACAGTCCTAGCATTTCATCCAGTTTTTCATTAGAACTTTTACTGCCTTTTCTCTTGCACTCCACTGTGTTTCTGATTCATGCTTGACAGAGATCTTAAGCTCCTGCTGCAGTTCATCCCATCGAGTTATTGAATGAGAAAAGAAATTATAAATGGCTGCAATTATACCAAAAAAGGTAATAACTGTTTTTTCCTGACTTGCAGCATAAAGACAAGCTATGTTCAAACTATGGTTGTCACAGTTTATAAACACTGCTTTTTGGATTTTTGTTCAGAATTCTTTGTTGAATGCCTGTCATGACAGCAGCATTATCATAACATTGTGAACAACAATCACTTAATAAAATTCCATCTGCTTCTAATTTTGTGCTTATTGTTTTCTCAATATTGGCAGCATCTTTTTCCTTTATCTGTATAAAGTCAGTAAATGTCTCTTTGACTTCTACTTTTCTTGTCTTAAAGTCAATGTCAACAAACCGAATCACTTGGGCCAATTGCTCACGATGGGCTAAATCAGGTGTGGATTCAAACAGAATACCATAGTATTTGTTTCTACGAGTTTCTGAGAAACAATAATTTCACACATGTGAAGCCATGAGATTTATAAACTCATTTTGATTTCAGGAGAAAGATAAGTTGTTGATGTTTGCTTGTTTTTAACATGCTCTAGATGCTCTCTCATTACTGGATCATACTTTGCTAATAACTGCAAGAGTGACAGGAAATTTCCAGGGTTTTCGTTTGAGGTTATGTCCTCAGTATGACCATGAAATG